AAAATTTCTTTGCCCTATCCCCGTCCCCACGAAGTAGATTAAGCGAGGAATCCTTGTCGAGATCGGGGATTCTTCACCTAGTTGCCATCCATAATATATGTTTTAAGAAAACATTTTGAAAGGTTCAATTATAATTTGCAGTGGCCAAGTGAAACTAAGTGCAAAGCTCAAGTTAATTGTTTCAACAATCATCCAACTTATATTATGGTCAATTTACTCATTAAATTTCAAAGTGTTTTATAGTGCTCATTGAACTTTACCTGCTTGCACTCCATCATCCTCAAAAATTCATTATTTTATTCACCGACGTTGCTAACAAAAATTTCATGTGGCAAGTTACGATCGTTAAAAACTTACAACTCAGTCAAACCATTGTTTCATTACTCACTCAACTTACATTTCGTCACAATTTACTCATCAAACTTCAAAATGCTTCACAATGGTCACTCGTGTTTGAGATATTGTATTACATCCATCATCCATCATATTTTGTTCCCTTCCTTGCTAATGTATTGCGCAGAAATCTCAAGTGACAAGATACAATCGTTAAAAAATTACAATTTAGCCAAACCATCAACTCATCTAAGTCACCATATATGAAACGTGACTTCCATGGTCTCATAAACTTCTTTAAAATCCAATAAAGCATCCCCAATTTCTTCCCTGCAAAATCCTAGTCCTCCACATATATCTAAATAGTGTAATAAGGTGAAACCGATTGTTAAGAATGATACGAGAAGCTACTACTTATAAAGTCTTATCCCCAATTGTATCATCTGCTCGACGTCTATATAATTTTAATCTTCCATTTTTGCATATGTGTATCCAACTATTTGAGAAATGAAATGTCATTGAACTCTGGCTAAATTGATGAACGAAGAACAACAAACACGAAGACGACCCATAAGGTATTCCAGACGTCACCAACCATTGGAGTTCGATAACATTTCTTTCCTCAAATAGTTGGATACACGCTTGCAAATATAGAAGATTGAGATTAGAGAGACGTCGAGCAGATGGTACAATTGGATGATAGAGTTGTATAAGTAGTAGTTTCTCACGTCCTTCTCAACAATCAGCTCTATCTTATTATACAATTTAGCTGTATGTGGGTGAGATGTGAATTGAGGGCTAGGATTTTTTATAACTGAAACGAGGTACGATTTGTTGAGTTTTAAAGAAGTTTATGGGGTCGTGGAAATCGCATTTCACATATGGTGATTTCAGCAAGTTGATGACTTGGTTGAGTTGTAATTTTTTTTAACTATTGTAATTTACCTTGTGAGATTTTCGTACAATGCATTTGCAACGAAGGGAACGAAATATGGAGGATGATTGATGGAGTGCAACATCTCAAAAATGAGTGATCATTGAGAAGAATTTTGAAATTTGTTGAGTAAACTATGACCAAGTGTAAGTTGAATGAATAATGAGACAATGATTTGGTTAAGTTGTAATTTTTTTAATGATCGTAATTTGTCAAATGAGATTTTTGTTAGCCACATCAGTGAATAAAATAATAGATTTTTTAAGGTGATGGATGGAGTGCAAATGTGTAAAGTTCAGTGAGCACTTTGAAGTTTAGTCATTAAAGCGTGATTATGATAGAAAATGGGTGATTATCTAAACAATTAACCGCAAAGCTCAATGTCAATTATTGAAAATAACCCATTGGGCCAAAAAATAGTAACCCTCAAAAAGAAAAGAAAAGGACAAAAAGAATAGAACATATGTCTGGCCCTCCATTTCACTGTTTTGAATTCAACGGTAACCTCCAGACTCTCTTGCGCAGTCCGGTTCAATTCACTTATCCAGTCACGAAATCCACAGCGGAAAGATCCCGAAAATGGAAAATCAGAGTAGAAAGAAGAAACAGGCGAGTAAGAAGAAAGAGATTTCTGAGAACAGAAGTCCTCTTCAAGATTTGAATGGCCAAGTTCTGATTCACAGAAAGAATTACAGGAAATTCTGTACAAATTCTTCTTCTGTTTCTGTTGAATCTCCCAAAGAAAGATCTTTACATTCTTCGAGTTCTTCTTCTACATCATGTTCCTCTTGTACGAAAACCCTTCTTACGAAATTGTCCAAACCTCAATTGAAATTTACTAACTGTACCACCCAAAAATCAGTAGCAGGAGGAGGAGGTGTCGAAACAGGAGGAGATAGTTCATTGGTGCTCAGATCTAAGGAAAATGATATTCGCAAAAGGTCCCTATCTCAGAAGCTACGGAAGAACCACCCGCCTTTGCTTTATCAGAGGAAAATTAATAAAAAATCAACACTTTCTTCTGGTCCTCGCTATCCAGTGAATACATCGAAGAAAGGGTTAGAAGAATTTGGGGAAAAGATAAAGACTTTGCAGGAAAGTGGCCCAGGTGAGTCAACCATTGATCTATTCGGAATATCCAAAAATAGCAATAGTTTAAATCGTGTTGAAAATTGTACACCTGCGGGGAAAATAGCTTGTGGCTCTGGTTTAGAAATTGTAAATTTATATGACAACAAGAATATAAGAGAAGATTCAACTTCAAGAACAATTGATAGTAATTGTAGTACTGCAGCTAAAACTCCTCCCGTTGAGGCCTCTGTATCTCCTGAGATTCAACGTAAGTCTCACTCAAAAGTGCTGGTTTCTACAGCATTTATGACGCCTATTTGTTATGGTGCTGGGCACCTTGTCTCGGGAATCACGGATAAGAGAAAGTGTAGATCGAGAGGGATTCTCACGGCAGGTCGTGAAAATGCTAATCTTTTTGAGTATAAAAGTAATGAGGGGAAAGTAATAAAAGAGTCTCGGGCTTCTTTGATTCCTATGCCTGCCGAAGCTTCGTTGCACTGGCTGTTGTCCCCATGTGATGTGGAGCACGAGGGAAATGACAGTGATTTGAAAAAGAGGTTGGAACGTTGTAGGATGATATCTGGGAACAATTCCGTGTTACTTGATTTAGGATCTTCACCTTCAACATTAAGTGGTAATGCATCTGATTTCGTATGTGATTCTGATAGCTACTGTGTCAGTAGTAATGTAGGTGATACAGCAAGTACTGGGAAAACAAGGAATGTTTTGCTTTCTCCAAGAAGAGCTCCTGAGCTGCAGGGGTTTTGGGGGCCTTCTTCCAGAAAAATAGATGAGTTTTTCTTAGTTGATACTCCTCATCGCACACCTACTGATAAGGCTATCAACTCACGAGGCGACAAAAACTACAGTTACAATCAGATTGGAGATAGTGCTGCAGCGTCTGTTGGTTCTTTGAGTAGTGGAAATGTCATTCAGACACCAGATTCAAATTCAGGCTCAGAATGTCATATTGATGACTATGAACATCGAAGACGTCACTTTGAATCGGAATTTGAGTCCGTGACGGAAATTCTACAGGGAATGAGCCTATCGCCTAGAAGTAAGATGTCAATATGTGATACACCTGGTTTGGATATGCATTGCACCGACTTGGCATCACATTCTCATTCTATTGACCTCAACCAACTTCCCGAGAAGAATTTGGACAAAACATCTATTGTCTTTGAATCAATGTCTGAGAATCTATCGCTATCCCAGATGAGGATATCATGGAGGGATGGAATGGTGAGCCAGACATATGAGATTGATGAATTTGATTGCTGCAGGTGCTTGTCAGATGAAGATGTTGATGCTGACGGATGTACCAATAAGTATCTAATGGCTTTTCCAGGGACTGAATCCGGTGCAAACGAAGAATGTGCGTTGAGAAATAGTGATCTTAAATCTCCTGTGTTGGAGTGTGAATCTAACATCTCTGACATGCAAAAGGCAATATTATCACCACATAGACAAAACTCATGTGCTGAGTCCATATGCACTAACGGGGGTGGCTTAGTTGCTTCAGGGGATTCAGATTGGACGATTTGCTACAAAAACCACTTCATTTAAGTCTGATAATTACAAAAAATTCTTTGAAAGTAAGTTATTTTTCTTTATCTTGAGGTGGAGATGTTTTCTTCCTGCCGGTGCCTGAAGTTTACCTTGTTGAGGGGATCTAATATGGTGCAGAGTTAAATTCTGTAACTTGTTTGTTTGAAAGCTTTACATTGCCAATGTATCAAATAAAATTGCATTAATACACAGCAATGACAGCATAATTGATACATGACCGCCATTTCAAGCTAATTGTTTAATCAGCTATGTTGTAATTTGAGGTTTAAGATTCGGTTGGGTTTTCAGTTGGAATTTGGTAGCTTTTGTCTTCTCTCTGGTGTATGGCTTTGAAGTTGTTCTGTAGAATAGTGCTTTTTGGATCTGTTTAGTGACAGGAGGACCCTTTTTCATATGATATTTCCATATTCTGAAGCATTTCTTCTAAAGCAGAAGCTAGAGCCTAGAAGGAAGTTGCAGATTTTTGTTTGATTTTATTGATTCTTCAAGCTTGCATTTTTATTTCTGACCACCAATTTACTTCCACTTTGTGGTTCTAACTTTAGTTTACAAAATCATTTATCACCACAAAGAAAAGAAAATTGAGGGATTGATCAGCTATCTTTACTGTATTTTCTATGGTTGTTTGAGTGACTCGTATGTCGATTATGAATAGTTTACTGGTTTGTATATATTTTTAACAGTTACTATTTGCTTCAATATTCTATATGCATCTTCAAATCTAGTACCTAATGTAAATTATATTAACATCTTCAAATTCACTGCAGGAAGTGCTGGAAGGTGCCAGCCAGATTTTATTCTGAACTGCATCTTTGATGTTAATAGAAGAAGGTATCTTACAAAGCGGAAGACACCTGAACCAATGTGAATAAGAGCAGTTTGGTTATCTCCTGAGCGCTATCTTTAATTATGAGAGAACACCAAGGTACGAGAGAACTCACTGTACTGAAGAGTAGCAATTGTTTAATTGTAGCATATTATCGATCAAATTTATGTTGAAAGAGAATTGTATTCATGAATCTCTAAGGAAAACTTGGATGTATTGAATTCATTGTTTTTCAGTTAATAACAAAATAATTCTCATTCTCTCCTTACTTCCCTTGTGTTTTAACATGCTACTAAGCATTGTGTTATTAGTAAACGAAAGCAGTTTTTGAGGGTCAGTAAAATTCCGCTTCCTGGTTCAACAGCATTTTGTACATAATTATATTTTCTGCTCCATAGTATGACATGAAATAAATTGAATTTTCTTGATAATGTGATTGATTAAAATGATATATTCAGGGAAATCCAAATGCAATTATCAGATTCTGGTCTGGCATTTGTAGTTAATATGACATAGCAGGAGCAGGTGAAGCATCTCTGTCAACTAAACAAGAATGTAATTAGGAAGTGTCTATTAGGCAGACTTTTATCTTATTTTCAACTTGACACAAGTAAAGCAAGAATCATTCTTCCATCTCGTGTCATCTTCATGTATGAATAATCCCATTTGAGAAAATTGGTTGGATGATAATATAGATAGAAATTTCTATTGATGTACCGACGAATAAAAGATAGGAATTCTCGCTTTTAAGAGATTAAACGGCGGCCTTCTTTTTGGACGAGGCATGGAAGGAAGCCACATCATGTTAATTTAATGTCCAACGTGCACCAGATAATGCATTACATCATCCATGTAGAACGTACTGATAGTTTATTGTCATAGCTACAGATGAAATGATCGAACCGAAATTATAAATGGTAGTAAGTTTGGATGGAAAAACATGAAACAATGATCTATGTTTGTGTTTCGCGCGTTTTCCGCTCGCTAACAATTAAAAGGGAATCAGACGATTGTGTAAGGGACAAACCTCTTGGAACAAAGTCCCAAAAAGGGGTGTTTATCAAATATGAAGATTACAGTTGAGGCACGAACAAGATGCCTCCAAGGGGCGCAAGCACACAAGTACAAGAGAGTTGAAGTAATTAAGAAGTTAATCTAAGAAAAATAAATTACACGTTCTCTGTTTTGAGAGTGAATTTTGTCTGTCCTTTCTTCGTTGTCTTCTTCTTTCTTTTATACGGCTTGGGCAGTTTTGATCGTTTCAGCAACTGCTTGTAACTACCCATGTCTTTCATCATGGTCGGCTGGCTAAAAACTACCGTGTGCAACTTCTATCACTACGCTCTCTTCATAACTGCTTGCCATCAACTTTCTCAAATCGTGGGGCGTAATTATGATGTGCTCAAACCGTCTTAGATCGTGATTCTGGATGACAACAATCTTTGGTCATCTCTTGGACTTTGGGCAACTCAGCATTGTTTGGGCGACAATCGATCTTCTGCTCTGGGCGATTGTAGGGTGCTTCCTTCGCTCAATATCTGAGCGTCCTGTCGACTTGAGCGACATCGTACCTTTGTCTTTTTGGGCCTTCCGCATATGTTAATGACACTTCAGATTGGGCCTTTTATCCTGATTTCTCTATCTAGGCTTCTTCTTTGGATCCATTTCCTCTCTTGGACCATTTGATTTGGGCTGCCTGTTTTGTGTATCAACAGTTTGTGTGACTTCGGGGTGTATTTTTCCCATTCCTTTTTTTGCCCCTTCTTTTTGTAATTGTGTGCAATATAGTTTTATTACAATAGGCCTAAAGGAGGATTAGGCAGGCCAGAAAAGCTAAAGACCAAGAATATTGTAATGAAGTTTTAAAAACATGAAGCTATGTCCATTGTAGTAAATCAAAATTTACTGCATCAATCAAGTCAGTAACATGATTTTTGTTGGACTATTTGATATGTAAGTTTAATCTGTTAGATAAGGTTACATGTATATTATTTAAATAATATTTTCAACCCAATTCTTCATGCGTGCGGGCAAGATTTATTTAATTTTTTTCTTGATGTCTAACACTTGCATAGTTCATTTAACTAAATGGCGATAATACTTGGAACTCACGATATTTGTATATTCTTAACTTTTCACAAGTGGTTTGATGAAATTATGCCCTTGTTTGGGATCCATTAAAAAATATAGATTTTTGGGGGAAAAAATGTGTTTTGAAATAGTGATTTTTCGGATAATATATGGTTAAAAAATAGAATTTTTTTTTTAAATTTATGTGTAATATTATTTTATTGGAGAACGTGGAGTTGAAAATAAAAAATAAAAAAATGTTATACATTTATAATAAAGTATATGGTTGGCGTATCTAGCAAGCAACAAACCTAACGGTCCTAAACCTCTAAACATTAGTCTTTTTGGGTTGGCTTGACGATTGAGTCCCTGAATTATGTTTGTTCAACTTGAAATATAGCCCAGTTTGATCCTCATTTAAAATTACAATTTATTTTGTTCTCATTTCTTATTAATCACGTATTTTTCAATAAAATAATATTACATGTAAACTCAAAACTTTTCACACTTCTTTAACCACACATTTTCCAAAAATTACTATGCAAAAATACATTTTTCTCAAATTCTAATTATAATGGGGGCCAAACAAGGGCATAAACCCACTTTATTAATTCTTAGTTCTTTGAATAATACTAGTGGTGCATCAAAAGATGTACTTAAGGGGTTACACCCCCCTCACATGGGATGAGACTCACTTGCATAAAATATTTATTAAGTGGGTCTCACCCCCATGTGAGGGGTGTTTAACTCCTTAGTACACCACAATGTACCACTAGCAAAACTCTAGTTCTTTATGGTACCTGCTTTGTCCACTCAAGGGTCGTTTGGTAGGGCTTTTAAAAAATTAAAAGTTGCTTTTGAAACTAATACGTTACTTTCGAACATGTATGGATAATTTTTCAAAATTATTTTGTTTGGTTAAATAAAATTTCTGAGAAAAACTCGTTTAATGTAAATTTTTCAAAAAACTCTTCTACAAAAATTAGAAGTAAAAGTGGGAGTCATAACAATTGAATCCTCAATGTTATTTGCTCAAAAAAAAAAAAAAAAGGCCAAAAAATAAAGTGGATGAGGTATTCTTGAAAAGGACAGTAGAGACTTCCATTTCATTTTATTAACAAAATACCATATGATAAGCTAAAAAAAAATTAAATAAAAAATTGGTGTAAACAACAAAGTTTCACCAAATTAAAAAGGAGAAGATAATATTATTAATATGCATATAATAATAGAAGAATAAATGAGCAAGTTTTGATTCAAATATTCTATTTATGATTTTTATTTAGCCATTGGTAGGAATTAAAATTATATTTTTAGTAAATTTTGATAGATTTTGATGAAATGTAGGGTGAAAAAATTGTGATTATATGAAATGTATGATTAAATTTAATTATTAACTTTAACTTAAATTAAAATCGGAATTTTAATTTCCCCAAACATTGGCTTAATTTATACTTGTTTACCTAACCTGTATAACATAACACCACTCTATGGGTCTGCTAAATATTCTCCATTGATATCCTATTTTTGTAAGAAAAGTAAATTTCATGAACAAAATAAAATGGAAATAGGTTTAAGGAGACTTTTGTGACGACTCTTTAGTCGTTCTAGAATTTTACCCTGAACACATAGTGAATCATCATGTACCAAGCGTAAAAAGTGTTTATGATGTTTATGACATTCGTTGTAGAAGCAACTTTTTTATGTTGTTGACTGTCAAGCATATTCTTAATCGCGTCTTGTTCATTTGAGGAGTTTTGTTAGATTATTAACACAAAACTAAAATTTATACAAAAAATATTTTCAATGACTAAAATTAAAAGGGACAATGCTACATAGCCAAGGTTAAAACCAGG